GTGATTAGTGAAACTTGCTGTTTGAGGTAAAAGCTCATGGGACCATACATTATTTTGAGTTGTCTGATGGATCATAATAATCCATAAATACTCAATAATCCACCATCTCTGAGAGAAATGCTGCAAGCTATTCAGAGAATGTGATACTGATAGGAAGTCTACACTGGGAAAAGCTGAGAGGACAATTTTAGCCTCAATCTAAGATGGGATCCTCTTGGCTCAGTTTCCCCCTTATGTTCCTTTGAAAAGGAATGCTACCCATCTGTCTATTCCTGAGACTGACTATGAGGTGTATTTGATACTGCATGGTTGGAAAACTGAGCTATCTGAATCCAAATAGAGGTAAGAATGTTTTATCCTGTCATATTTGTCCCTGCTTATCCTTTTATAGCAAATTTCTATAATCAGAGCAAGTGGTTGGTAAAAAATCAATGAAAGTGTGTGAGATCTTGCTGTTTTGACCTGAATGTGTAGTCATTTAATACCCCCAAACAATTGAAATATCTGGACCCTGCAATCTTTTCTGTCAGATTTGTGTCTTCCAGACTACAGGTCATTCACCTATAGTTGTAAGCAAACAGTGGGTATCAGCCGGTGCCCCCCCATCATCCTCTGGATGAAGCCTGTGCTTGGTTCCAGTCAACCTCCTCTTTGGGACTCTCTTCAGGCAGGGATGGCTCTATATCCCTTGCTGGCAGGAAGCAGTTTCAGAAGCCAAGACCTTTGCTCCTTACCCCAAAAGAATTTGGTCCCATTTGTTTGAAGGGGAAACGATAGGGATGGGATCTGAACCCCTAAAAGGAAAAGACCATGTCTTTGGGATGTGGACCCCAAAAAAGAATATCCCTGCACTTTTCCCAAATCTCAGGCATTTGCTTGAGGCTGTAATCCACTCAACTGGCCTTTCATTGTGGCTATGCCTAATCTCCCAATTCTGTTCTGTTACCTCCCAATTGCCCCTGGCCACTTCTCACCTTTAATCTTATCTAGACTCCATTCTCCTTTGGTCACGTGGTACAGGTCCCCAGAGTCCTGTTCACCCCAACTTACTGGGGTGAACCCATCTGGATCCTCCTTAGACCCCCACCTCCAGTCACCCCAAACTGCTTGGCCACTCCTAGGTACCTCCCACAGTCTTTCTATATATAAGGTCCATCTTGTGTCCATTAAAGGGCTCATATTCTTAAAATCTGGCCCACTTGTATTAGTGATACAAATGCTTATATTCCTTAAGAGTCTGATCAATATGGCAGATCTTTAATAAACCTTGTATTTGGCTGAGAAAAAAAGATGTCAGTGCAGTTTTAAGCTATTGAAGTTGAAAACTACATGAAAATTTTTGGCACGCCTTGTTATACGCACATATACAGATGTAGAATTGTGTTGTTGTTTTTTTCCTCCCATATAAATTACATACCTAGGAGTGGCTTGGAAGGAGATATTAATAGATACCTCTAGAGTCTCCTTTACTAACCTTTCTCCAGTGGAGGTTTTGATTCCAACAAAAGGGAAAGCAGATTAGGGTTAGAGGCTGGGCACTCTGCTCTCCTCAGAGAGAAGGAGGTTAGAAATATATCTATCTGCTCATTCCTTCCATAAATATTGTTAGTCTAGAGGAAATATTTTTTTAGGTTCAAGCTGAGCTCCTGATTACTATTCATTAATGGGAAAAGAGTCCCCCAAGCCATATATTCCAGGCTTGACTCCTTTTCCATCAAATGCCAGTTACACAAAGACACACCTAGCAAATAACAAACAAACAAAAAATACACTTATTCAAGCCTATAGCAAACATAAATCAGAAGAGTTATGCATATGAGAATATACCAGACAATTCACAAAGTGAATGAGCTCTGACATTGGAAGTGAGGCATTTCAGCTCAACCAAAAGAGAAAGTCCCAGATCTTGGCCAAAAAGAAATTCTTCAAAGACTCTACTGCAGCAAATCAGTGATAGAAACACACTCCAGTATATATTGGCTTCTTCCCAGCATCTTTCTTTACCTTCAGTGAACTCTCTGAGAAAGGATTCTGATACAGATTATCATCTCTCTTGAGGCTAGTCAACTCCATCACTATCATGGACTTGAATCATTGAGTAATTAATCTCCACCAATGAGAGAAGTCTTATTCAAATGGACTTTAAGCTAAGGATTTTATACACACACATACACACATAGTGCTTTGCAAACTTTGAAGCACTGTTAGCTATTATTATTATCATTATGACATAGGATATTTATAGTCTCACTATAAATAAAACCAGAAGACATAAAGAAATGGAAAAGAAATGGGAATGATTGCTTATAGGTTTTCCTCAGAGAAGTGAATAAAAAAGTTGCTTAAGTTGGTTCCACCATACATCCAAAATCAACAACAACAACAAAAAAATTAGAGTCATCTTTGCCTCTTCCTGTTCACTCTCCCCACCCTCATATTTAATCAGTTGCCTAATTTTGTGGATTCTGCTCATTATAACATCTTTTCCATCAATTCCTTTTTCTCCACTCACAGTATCACCACTCCGGTTCAGACCTTCATCATCTCTCATCTATACTTGTCTCTTGATTAATCTCCTAACTTACAGACCTTCTTCTATAGACTCAATCTTCTACATAGCTGCTCAAAGCAAAGGCCTGATCTTGTCACTTCTTTGTTCAAAAGTCTGTAGATGTTCCTTGTTGCCTTCTCATCAAGCTAGATCTAAGCGAGCTTTACTTGTTTCACGTTATTCACATTCCTACAATCTACATACCAGTCAAATTCTACTTCTCCCCTGTACAACTTCTTAGAGATAGGGAGTAATTCAACATTCTATTCTTTGTCTCCATATTTAATGCATTTTCTAGCTGTTTAAATTTTCAAAAGTTGTCCCCTGATTCTCTGAATAGCCCCAAATCTCACAGCTCTCTTAGAATCCCTACCTCCCTTAAAGACTCAATCAGATGCCACATCATAGAGATTTTCCCAATTCCCCCAGTTAGTTTTCTAACCCACCTTGAAATATGTGTGTATGTGCATATGTATGTGTATATAAATACACATACATATATGTGTATATAAATACACATACATATATGTGTATATAAATACACATACATATATGTGTATAAAACAGAAATGTTTGCATGCATGTATACATGAGTATATGCACACATACTACTTGGGTCATATACACAGATGGGTAAGTATATAGTGTTTGCATATACACATATACAGAATGTAAAAATAAGTATATAGATATTACATAGTATATGTTCCAAGTAGCTCCCTTAGGGTAGGGACTTTTTAAAAAATCTTTTGCCAGACTAAAGAATAAGGCTGAACAAAACTACAAAAATACTGTATAAGAAGAAGCATACTTAGAGAGGAGTTGGTTCCCTCCCCCTCCCAAAGGAAAAAAAAGGATTTGGAGAGTTTGTTCTACTATACACACAAATCAGTAGCAGAATGTGGTAGCAAAAAAAATCTCATGCAATCTTAGGCTGCATTAAGAAAGATGTAGCTTCCAGATATAAGGATGTGATAGTCCTTCTGTATTCCACCCAGGCAGACCACATTTGGATTATACTGTTCAGTTCTGAGTATTATATCTTATGAAGTATATTGCCATGCTAGAGATTATAAAGATGATGTCAACCAAAATGGTGAAGGGATCTGAGTTCAATTCACATGGAGATCAGTTGAAGGAATTGGGAACATCTGGTATAGGGTAGAGAAAACTCAGGTAGAGGGAGGGAATATGATAGCAGTCTTCTAGTAACTGAGTAGTTGTTGTGTGGAAGATCAATTAGACTCATTCTATTTAGATCCAGAAGAGAAAAAATAAAGGTGTAATAGATGGAAGTTATGAAAGACAAATTTGGTCTTGATGTCAAGAAAGACTTCAGAATTAGAAATTGGCTAAAAGTAGAATAGATTGCCAGAGAAGTCTATCTCTGAAGATCTTCAAAATAGAATCTCAATGACCACTTGTTAGTTACCTTATATTGGAGACTCTTTTCAGGTATGAATAAGAATAGATTCTGGCTGTTTTCTTCCAACTCTTAAAATTCCTTGATTTTCTTTGTCACATTCCCACTAACTAATACAATATTGTGACCTCTGTAGTGTGGATTATTATTTATCACTTCTTTATATTGTGTGAATCTAACTTTATGTGCACAGAGACTGTTTGCATCCAGAACATTACCCTAACTCAGTAATTTTTTAGGAATGTTTTAGGAATGCTGGAGATGGCTACAAGGAATTGCAGGTTCCCCAGGTCTTGAATCTACTCAAAACCATTCTTTTTTTTTGGGGGGGGGGTTTCCTACACCCAGAATTTATTTTGGATCCATTCAAGCTTTGTTTTGGATTTCCTTCATGTGATTCATATGTGACTCATGTGTGATACCTTTGTCAAAATCCTATATAAAATAAACCTTCCAGAACCTGGGGAGGGAGCTGCCCCTTCTTTCTGGTGCTTTCTTCCTACCAGATGACCTAATAAATTTCTTTCTAAAACTATTTCAAATTTCAGGGTTTGTTCTCGTGAACAATAGGCATTTAGTAAGTGGCTTGTTGAGTTGCTGTTTTTTTGTTGAATTAAATTATTTCCCAGAATTTTTAGCCATTTTGTCTTGAAATATTCACAATAATCACCAAAAAAACCACTATCATGATCATCACAGTCTATATGACAACATCTGTTACAGAGAATGAAGAGGTAATGAAATTCTATTAAGAAATTGGCAAGATCTTCCAAATGATGTCAAGGTAATTGATGACTCCAATGTGAAGTAAGGCATAAAGAAAGATGGAAAATATTGGAAAAATATGATTTGGTATTAAAAACAAAAGAGGTAAAAATGTACAGATCAATCAGAAGTTACTCATTTGTTTATCATGAATGTTTCCTTTAAGAAGAGAATCAGAAGGCTACAGATGAGGCAAGGAACAACCAGTATCTCAAAAGAAAAATAAAATGGGTATGGTAAAGAGAGTAAATAAATACTTACTGATTCAGAAGTCAATTCCAAATAAGTCCTTGGTGTGCATCAGAGCACTAAGTAGAACAAAAGTTAAAAAAAAATCAATACAAAATTAGAGGAAAAAATGACAAAAAAAGATATTGTGCATAATTCCAACTGTTCTAATGTGACTGATTAATACAAGCTGTCCATTCTGAAAAATGAGAAATGGATAAGGGATAAGACTTTAACTATGATAATAACTATTTATTATGTAAGTTAATATGAGTATAGATTTAAAATCAGAAGTATCCTTAGATGTCATTTACTCCACCACCACCACCACCCTTTTTTTTTCAAATAAGGACACTAAATTAGTACTTCTCAAGACATCAACTGGAATATAAGCATTCCATGTGCTTGTATTATAGAGGCTTTTAAAATGGAAAATATTTTGATTAGTTTCTTCAATTCCATTTGGCAGCCAATAATACCTCTCCAGATGTTTGACTGCAGTATGATATAAAAATGGCAAGAGGGAAGTGTATTGCCCCAGATCTGACTAGAATTAAATGTGGAGAACCCTCACCAAAAAGGAGCCCACAGCTTCTAAGTGGGAATTGTAGTAATTGAGTATAAATAAGAGATTGGAACAAGGAGGCCTGACATAAAAATAACAGGAAAATGGTGTCTTGTGAATTTATCTTTGGGACAAAAGGGGAAAACATTCTAGACCGGTTTCAGGTACCAAAACCAAAGACATGAAGCATTTAAAGTGAAATAAGTAGCCCATTATTATTGATGTGTTCTACCTCTAAATTGACCTTGTTCTCCTTGAGTGAAAAAGTCTCATGACCTTTTCCTACATATAATTGCTAATTCAGATTCCAAGGGGGAAATGAAATTCCAATATACAAAGCACCTAAAAAAGGGAAGAAGGCTTTAATTAGGAATATAGCTTTGGATATATCTGTATATGCATATATAAAATACATATAAAAACATCCATGTGTGTATGCACACATGGATGTATGTGTATATGGCAAGCAATATCAATTCATTTACATTATCCATGGAGGAAGGATGACACTAGAAGTTAAAAAATATATAAGAAGAAAACATATCCTTATACATACAGGAAACTAGTTGGACTAAGGAAGATCTCAGGTCAAATCTGGTCTCAGACACTGACTTAGCTATGTGACTCTGAACAAGTTACTTAATCTCTCCCTTCCTTAGTTTCCTCATCTGTAAAACGAGGATAATACTAGCCCCTACCTCTCAGGGTTGTTGTGAGGATCAGATGATATTTATAAAGCATTTTGCAACTCTTAAAGCACTATGTAAATGCTAGGTATTAATGATATATTAAGAAGGGTGATAGAAACCACAAACCAAACACTAGGAAATTAATTATGGCAGTCATAGCTTAACAGTTTCCAAAACAGAAACTGTTTCAGTGACTTGTTGAAAGACCTTTAGGAAGCATGTAGCAGAAGGATTTGAATTCATGCCTCTTGATCTCAAACCTACATCTTTAGTGCAGTACTTGTGGAACTTTTTCTACTAGTTGATTTAGCAACATTCCCTTCACTACGCCTTTAACATATTTGCTCTACATTTGGTCAAACACTATGACAATAAGTTTTAATGAAATAGAGTTGGCTAAACACCAGGACACTCAGAAGGGCAATGACTTTCAGTCAGATGTATGTAGGGTTCTCAGAGCTATCTTATGACAAACAACTGTTTCTTTAAAACTACATAGTTTTCATTTGTCTAAACAACTTACTTTAACAATATCTCCTGAATGGAATGTTAGTATGATCAGAGCCATAACTGGGAATTCTGATGCCTAGAGCAAGGGGTGGGAGTGGGAGAATGTGGGGAAAGACCAGGCAGTGAGCCAAAGGAAGGCAGCAGAGTTAGTGGGGGTGTGGAAAATTCAGGTTCCCACCCCAGAGAAGCACTGGTCTCTCAGATTATGCCTCCAATCTTCAGTTGCCTCAGCTCCCTCTCTCTATTTTTATACATGGGCCCTTACTGAGGTTGCTATGATAGTCTCTCCATTGACAGATATCTTGGGCATATCACTGATAACTAAAGCTATTGAAGGTATTCTGGAAATCTCCACAACCTTAGGATGTTTATACTTGGGTGACTGGGGGAAATTTTACAAAATGTTGGACTTCACCTAGCACTTGCAAGGAGCAAAAAGGCAAAGATAGCTCCCTCCCTGGACTAATTCATTCTCAAAGATTTAGTTTAGAACAGGAATAAAGCAATTAGTAACTTTGGAGTAGAGTCTCTTGGGGAATTACATGCAATGTAGATGTGATACGTGGTTATTATTCAAGCAAGCTGAGGCTTTGCCTCCAAAATTTTGATCTAAGATGTGTTGATAAGTACAGATATGTGTGTTTACAGTGTGTTCCAAAAGTCTTAATGCAGTTTTTAGCTATCAAACACACATACACACACTTGTACTTATATAAATATACATTTGTATATTGTGTACATATACATGAATGTATATACACACATATATATCCTTTACTCTTCTGTTACAGTAGCACATTGCATATATAGTGTATACATGTAAAGTGTTTATATGTGTGTATATCTAGTGATATCAACATCAATGCTGATATTGATATAGTAGTACTAGAACAGAAGAATAGAGAAAATCATTTTAAGGGTAGTCAGAGTAGAAGTTATGGCTGAGTCAGAGGAAGTCTCACCTACTAATAGACAGATGATTTGGGAAATAGAGGAGTAAGACCCTTGGTGATCTGAATGCTTTTATATTTGATATTCATTGTTAACTCTTCTACAATTGAGTGCTATTGGAGAAAGTAGTGCTGCTATAATTTCAGCACCTAAATTGGTTCTCAGGACAGCTGGGGGGACATAATGGTTAGAATGCTGAGCCTGAAGTCAGGAAGACTCATCTTCCTGAGTTTAAATCTGGCCTCAGACACTTACTAGCTATGTGACCCTGGGCAATTCACTTAAAACTGTTTGCCTTAGTTTTCCCATCTGTTAAATGAGCTAGAGAAGGAAATGGCAAACCACTCCATTATCTTTGCCAAGAAAACCCCAAACAGGGTCACGAAGAGTTGGACATTACTGAACAACAACAAAAAATGTCTCTCTTTAATTTGGACTCTGTATTTGATTAACGAGTCACATTATCCTCAATATGTCTAGAAAGAAAAAAAAGTTTTAATAAATTAAGTCATTTTCCCCTTTATAATCTGCTTAAACACCCAAGTTGTATGTTTAAATGGTACAACTGGAATCACTGGAACAACTGTCATCTGAAACTCAATAGAGCTAAACTTGTCAACTTTGTAAAACAGAGGGACTATTTGGAGTAGCAGCATTGGACTCCACTCTTGCCTCCCTGCGTTGATGCTTCTATCCATTATCTCTCATCTCTGAGGCCATTCTGTTCTTTCATAGTAAAATGGAATACAAAATAAATCATCTCTAACTGAAACGTAAAAAAGAGAAAAGAAAAGTAGTCAAGTGTCTGAGTTCACTGGAAATACTGAAATACTATGGTGTTTTCTTGAATGGTAGGAGCATGAATAATCTAAAACTGAACTTCTATACTGTTTAGGAAAAAAATGGTGGGGCAGAGATGATAGGGTCACAGAAAAATCCTTGCCCCACAGTTTGCCATAGGGAAGTGGAAGCTGGAGGGCCTAGAAGCCCAAATGAGTGGCAGCCCAGTCTGATGTGCAGGTGACAGCAAAAGTTTAACTAATACAAAATAATCACCATAACAAGGAGACCAAAAGAACAGAATCTGGACTAAGCAGCAAATACATGTTCTCTTTGCCAAAGAGAGTAAAGACTTATTCAGAAAACACTATAAAGACAGATGACAGAGAATTACAAATAGTATCACCTCACTGCACAGCCCCAAAATGGAGAAAATGAGTCTGTTGAAAGTTTGTCAGGAAATTCAAGAAAGTCATGTTCATGCAAGAAAAACTAAAGCCTATATGTGCAACACAACATATCAAGGGTATCATTGATCAAAGTATGTGAAAGAAACAAAGAAAACAGGGGAGAGCCTTTACATATACTTCTCCATACCAGAAAAATCATTTGTAGATGAAAGAAGACAAAGAAAAAAATGGAACAAATTTATGTCTTTTTAGCAATGTAGTCTCATAGCAGAATCACCAGATTTGGCTTATGACAGGTCAGTGTACAATGCCCTTAAGATGAAATTATAGAGAGAGTCTGCACCTAATAAAATGTATGAAGAAAAAATTGTTTTAGAAGTGATAAAATGATGAATAGACTCATAAGCAACAGGAAAAGTATCTAAAAATATCTTTGTTCTTGTTCATTTCAGTCGTATCCAACTCTTCATGACCCTATTTGGGGTTTTCTTAGCAAAAATACTGGAGTGGTCTGCCATTTCCTTCTCCAGCTGATTTTACAGATGAGGAAATTGAGTCAAACAGGGTGAAGTGACTTGCCCAGAGTCACACAGCTAGAAGTGTCTGAGGCCAGATTTCAACTTAGAAAGATGAGTCTTCCTTACTCTAGGCCTGGCACTCTATATACTGCACCACCTAGCTGTTCTAAAATATCTACCCATATGTATACTTTCTCATCTCCATAAAATATTCATAAAATGATTTATGTACACATATGTAGGAGAATATGCAAATAACAGGCATAACAACAGGCAGGTTTTAATTTTTTAAAGAGGACGACATCCTCACATATACATATTTAGCTATAAAGTATAATGAATATAAGATCCCACTATATTTAATCTTTTTAATCTATTGATGACCCAAAAAGCATTTGACTCAGTAGAACAAAATGCATCCTTAAAGACTTTCCCTCAACAATATGTCCCCCAGGCATATGTTATGATCGTGTAAGATTCCTTGGGAAACACATCAATAAAGATATCTTTGTTTAGTGGTCCTCAATTATTATTACGTAAAGCATAAAACAGGAAGATTTGTGCCTGCCAGAGGCATTCAATACCATCATGTTGACATCCTGCACAGAGCACAAAGGGAAGATAAATAGATGGTAAGGTCCACCAGGTACTCCTGAT